CTTCAGCACTGGCTGAACTGCTGGGCTCAGTTTCTCCCAAAGACTGGAGTGGGCTCTTGGCAGGGCAAGACCTGCACAGGCACAGGAGGTGACACCACCATTAGGGACAGCTGGACTCGCTGCTCAAGGGCAGTGACACAACAGCTCATCCCAAGTACTCCCAAACTAGCCAGGAAAAATCAAGCCCATTAAAAAGAGCCTGTGAGGAACCACTACCAGTACTGGGAGGTCTCCTACAACCTCTTCCTGGCACTTCTTTAATGAGAACAACCCTTGGGATCACCTGAGCAGCCTCTGCAGGTGCTTTGACATTTTTCCTGGTGCCATTTCTCCCAGGTCTGTCACACACCATCCAAGCAATGCACCCCAGCAGGGGACAGGCCCAGAGATTCCTGGGAACAAAGAGTCAGCTGTCCCTACCACAATGGTTCATTCACCCCACTGACTGCCCTGGGAAAGGAAATGGGACATATGGAGCATGCAGGAACATAGGATGGAGCGTGGAGACAGTGGCCATAGCCAGGACCTGCTTTAGGTACTCCCCAAGCTGAATGAGGCAAGGAGGAAAATCCTCAGAGAAGCCCAAGACTACAGGAATACCAATAAAAGCTTGGATTTAAATATTACACATCAAGACAACTTCCTGACCTAAATTTTGTATATTCTTGATATAATCTAAAATCTCTTATTGAAAATTTTTCATTTCCAGAATTTGACAAAGGGTTTTTCCTCCATGAACTTTCCACAGCAAAGAAGCTTGGATTCACACTAAGAAGTTGAAACACTCTCAACCTTACTTTCAAAACTCAGTCCTAGAATCATCTAATTTAAAATCTTTCTATGAACAGATATTTTACATCCTTCTGAAATACATAGTAACATCTCACCATGAGCTGCACAGGCTCTTGAAACAAAAAAAATTCACATAATCTACTCCAATAAAAAGTGGAGCTAACATTTTATTAAAAGGGGCAAGAAAGGATAGGCATGCACCAGGTATTAACATATTTGCTGGGGCAGCTAAGGAATTGCTGGGAGAATCTGATGGAGATATGTCTGCTATGAAAGTGTGGGTGGGAAATGTTGAGGGCAGCAGCTAGAGAGCACAATTATTTGCTGTAGTCAGGAAAGAACACCTCCTAGGAGAAGACAGTCATGATTAACTTGTTAACAAACATAGCCTGAAGTAGGGAACTTTTAGAAGTCTCTGAAACTCAGTTCATTCCACCTAATATTCATCACCTAGAAAAGAAAGAAAAAGCTCCAATGGAGTCATCTAAAGATCATGCTGCTATAAGATGCATATGCTCAGAGATAACATTCTGCTAGTGACTATTAAACAAGTGTGGAAAAGCTGCAAGTGGCATATGTGTGTCAAGAAGAGGGACCAGAAAAAACAGCTCTGGAGCATTTTGAGGATAGGACAGAAAAGAAGAAAGCTGAAGGATGTGGATGATCAGAAAGACAGACCTAAGCTCTTCCTGAAAAGCTGTCTGCTATTTTTGTATTCTCAACAAGACAGACCAGCTAACGTCACCTCAAGGCTGCTCTGTAGTCCAGGCTGCTGAGTTCCATCTTCCATTCAAGAGGCGAGGAAAATTACTCCTTTATTAGTACATGGCATCAGCTGCTGCTAGCCAAATGGTGAACTTGTTAAGGCAAGGCAAGGGACATTGACTTTAACATGCCTTCTGTGGCTGGAAGGTCTGTAACCATCTGAGCCAGGCCAACCTTTCTGGTTTGAGCCCCAGTCCTTGGCTAATGTTTGATAAAGTGGAAGGTTCCCAGGCCAACGCATCCCAGCAGTCTCAGCAGTTCCCAACCATGCACACAGGGACACAAAGGGAGGCACAGCTGCTCAGAGTTCATCTACAGCTCTTCTCTAACACTATCACACTACTCACCACAGAATGAAAGACAACAGCATTTATCTCCACAACATACCAAGTCTCTCACAATTACCTGATGATCTGAGCATGTCCCCACACACTTCCCTCTTTTATTTTTCCATTTTTGAACTTATGATGCCTTTACAGCAGTGCTCTCAGCTCCGTAGAAACAATATCCCTCACAAGTGCATTGGCTTCCAACCATCCAACCTCAGCACAAAGCATCAAAGAATTCCTTCTGGACTCTCTCAAAAGAGGACAATTGTTTTATGAACCCTTCACAAAACCAGTGCTACAATAAAGCTTTGCATTGTGGGCATAAACCTGTATTTAGGCCTGTGTGAATTCCTACATTACAAGGGTAGATGTTTGAAAGGTATCTAAATTTCTTTAGACATAATAGGAAAGGAAAACTCTTTTCAAAAGAAAAAAAAACATTAATATGTGTCTTGTATCTGTATTCTTTCTTTCCTTCTTTTCTTCAAGTTGCCAGAAAGGAAAAACAAATGGATCTGTTTATTAAACTATGACTAATTTCCACTGCATGGACAGTGTTTGATGAGAAAAATATATATAAAAAGCTGGAACTTTGTTTACTTGAGCAGCTTTACATGCAAGAAAACTAGTCACATTCAAACTGTAAAAGAACACTTTGCAGGCTCAAAAAGCCACATTTTCCCCTCTTACTCTCTTCTGTTGTCTGTTTAATTTAATATCTGTAGCATAACTTTGATCCTGAAACCTCTTCCTAATGGGGAATTCTTGGGCCAAAGCAGTAAACCCTTATAGTCATTGATGTATGGTTTGTGATGTATGGTTTTTTGGAAGGGTTCCTTCCAAAAAATTCAAAATCAACTATGTATATTTTAAATATAAAAGCAACTTGATACACATAGTTTACCTTATTACTAAGATAGGCTGAAAACCTTTGGAATTAAAAGTTCCGTACTGGTAAGTGAAACGTTACTGCAGACTTGCAAAATTATTTTTAACTAAATAAGCAGTTTGTATAACATGACACTTGCCAAGTTTGCCACAAAAACTTGTCATAATCTGAGTTGGCCACTATAAAGCAAGAATTGTGCTACTATGTCTTCATGAAGACCAAGTTTTCTCTCTACTTTTAACCACAATAAAACCAAAAACCAATATTAACATTTTGGAGAGAAATGATAACTTTAGAAGTGACCCTTGGTATACGACTTCTGTTGAATTCACCTAAGGTATTCTTACATGGTACAGGCTGGAAAGAAGTAGAGAAGTAAAGACTCATTTGGTGTTCAAGTGAGAAGTTTTCCAAGAATGCAAAACACAGATCTAGTCAGAATATATTGAGATGTGAGAGCTGTAATAAAGACAGCTGTGTGTTTCCTTGTGTTCCTGGCTCAACAGGAGAATTTCCTGTAGAAATTAGAACCTCTGGAGAGCAATTAGTGCAAATCACTAATACAGGTAATAAGTCCTGTTCTCTGAAGGAAACAGTGTATATTGGTTTGTTCTGGCTCAAGATACATGAAACAAAGAGAAACTGTACAGAAAAATTCAGGAGGGCACATCTTGGGCAGACACAGGCTCTGCCTGGAACAAGGGAACTGGCAAAGATAAGCACTTGCTGCTGGAAAACTGAGGCAACCTGGTGGGCCCAACATGTGAGCAAAGGTCTAATATATCCAAATATAATTTCTAAATATTTCTCTGGAGCACTTTAGCCATGTTGAGACAGAGAGGAAGAACTGAAAGGGCACTGCTGCTGCAGGTCCCCAGTGGGACAGAGGAAGATGAAGTGCATTGGGATGCTGCCTGTGGGAAGAGGCCATGCCAACCCTGGACACTGGGATTGTTGTCTTCCATGGATCTGACAGCAAACCTGCAAGAAACACTACACATACACTCCTCTGCCACAGACAGGGCAGCCAAAACATGGGCTGCCACAGGACAACAAAAACTTAGCAGGAGAATCCACACCTCTGCTAGATGGCCTAACTAGTTCTCCTGAACTTCTGGTGTTGGAAATACTCAGAAACTGGAAAACCTTTGCAGGGAACTCATGTTTAGCTGTTCCTGGTTCTTTTGAGGTATTTGTTTATGGCAATACTAGAAACAGGATAATGGCCAAAGTCACTGCTGAGCCAGGAACAAACTGGGCCACCACCAGTCTAAACTGGCTCAGGAACGGCCAACTTCTAAAGCTAAAATTAGAAAATTACCAGTTTTAGGTGACTTTAACACCAAGTTACTCTTTTTAGACATCAAAGCTCAGCACTGCCTTCTAAGAGCTCAAGACTAAACAAAAGAGTTTTTTAATTCCATAGTTGGGGAAATAGACATAACCAGTATTTTGCCCAAACTGAAAAAGTCAGGATAACAACCCAGCGTCCCCTTTGCTGCCCAGACTGACATTTCAAATGGTCATTAAAGTCTTTCAAAAGCCTATTGGGCAAGTCCACACTAACCAGCAATTTGCTACAACCACCAAACTTCCTTTCTATGTCAACTATGGCAGCGAGGAAACTTACACAAAGTCTTCAAGGAAACACTCTGCCATAGTCACTATCTGGGGGCAATGTACTGACAGCACTATCTCACCAGGGCCGAACACCTTCAAATGGCCAAGACACGGGGTTATTTCCTAGCATACGCTTGAACTGGTCCCCTTAGCTTGGAGACATTTGTTATCTTTGAACACGAAACAAACCAAACGCAGCAAGCCCACGCTTAACAAGAGCAGTACCTGGAGGTCTGGTTCCACTATTGGTGAAGTCACTTAAACTAACAAAGCGGACATAAAACAGCACCCTCAAAACTGGCAACAACTGCAAAGGTACACAAATGACTCCATGCACTATAAATAAGCCGTAGACGAAAACCTAAACTTTTTTTTCTTTTTTTTCTTTTTTTTAGTCTCCACCGCCCCCCTCCCCGGGTACCGCGGGGGGCATCACGGGGGGGGTCGCGGCTATTTTGGAAACCAAGCCTTGGGCCCCCTCCCCGTGCCCGGGGCCGCTCGGAGCTGCCCCTCCCCATCCCCGGCCCTCGCCCCCCACCCTCCCTCCCTCCCTCAGCGGGGAGGGGGCGGCATCGCCCCCCGCCCGCGGCCCGGTCCGCCCTCACCTGCCAGCGCCAGGATCTGGGCCTTGTGCAGCAGCAGCCGGTCGCCCCACTCGCCGGGGCTCTCGTCGTCCTCGTCCGCCGCCTCCTCGGGGTTGCGGTACACGGTGTAGACCTTCTGGTTGTCGAAGTCCTGCTGGGAGGTGGGGCTGAAGTCCCGCACGCGGGACACGGGCAGCGCGTAGCACACGTTGTCCTCCAGGAACCGCACGAACGCGTACATGGTGCGGGGCGGCCGCGCGGCTCCGCGCCCGCCGCCGTATTGTTCCTGCGGCCGCCTCTGCGCTCGGCTGAGCGGGCCTGGCCGCGCCGCCCGCCGGGCCCCAGACGGCGCCGGCCAGGCGCGAGCAATCCAGCGCGGAGCGACGCGAGCGGGGCGGGCCCGGGCGGGGGCAGCGGGAGCGGCCGCGGCCCCGCTCGGTTCCCGCCGCAAACAGCGCCGCACACAGCCCCGTACACAGCCCCGTAGGGCCCCGGCCTCGCTCGGTGCCCGCCGCAAACAGCGCCGCACACAGCCCCGTAGGGCCCCGGCCCCGCTCGGTGCCCGCCGCAAACAGCCCCGTACACAGTCCCCTACGGCCCCGGCCCGCTCGGTGCTCGCTGCAAACAGCGCCCCACACAGCCCCGTACGGCCCCGGCCCGCTCGGTGCCCGCCGCACACAAACAGCGCCCCGCCCGCGGCCCCTCACGGCCCCCGCCCTGCCCCGGCACCTCCGCCGGGGACACGGGTCCCGCCTCCCCTGTCCCCACCCTCGGCCGATCTCGGGCCTCGGGAAGATGTTTTTGCCCCCAGGTTGAGAACTCAGTACACGTGTGCCGCAGAAGGAGGCTTTGTTCCAGAGAATCATGGAGTGGTTTGTGCTGGAAGAGGCCTTAAAGATCGTCTCGTTCCAGCCCTGCTGCCCCGGGCAGGGACAGCTTCCACTGGCCCAGGGTCTCCAAGCGCCATCCAGCCTGGCCTTGAACTCTTCCAGGGATGGGGCATCCGTGACTTCCCTGGACAGCCTGTACCAGGGCCTCAGCAGCCTGACCACACTAAAGAATTTTTTCCTGCTAGCCAATGTAAACCTGCACTCTTTCATTTCGAGCCTCTTCCCCCTTGTCCTGTCACTACACGCTCTTGTAATAAGTCTCTCCTCATCTCTCCTCTTAAGTCTCTTTCAGGTGCTATAGTCTCTTTCAAGGCCATGGTAAGGTCACCCTGAAGCCTTCTCCAGGCTGAACAATCCTGAATCTCTCAGTCTTTCCTCCTTGGAGAGGTGCTCCATCACTCCATCGCTCTGATTACCTTTGGAGGAGAAACAGAGGGGTGACACATGGTGGGATTTGTTTTGAGGGCCAGGGCAGAGCCAGTGAGTGCAGGGAAAAGGGGCAGGAGGGAACCTGTGTGAGGAGTGGATCCTTCCTGGCCAGACAACAGAACCCTGTACTCATCTGCCACTTGGCAATGGCACTGGAGCATCAGCTTTTACATGGAGGTCCTCATGGGAATGCAGAACCACCTGCACTCCATCATTCCATGCCCTGGTGGTTGCTGGAGGAGCACAAAGCTCCCCCATCCTCTCCCAAAAGAGCACAGAGAGCTGAGAAATGCTGTGCAGGGGTGTCAGAATGAGGCTTAGAGACGGCACACGTTTTATCACGAATTACCAAATTTTGGAGGCTCTTAGATACAAAGTATGGATGTTTTGAGGTTCAAGTATGAAAAGGGTAATGTGGCAAAATTTCTTATGGTTCAGAGCCAATTCATACTGCTGTTGTTAGTCCTGAGATCTGTTTTATCCAACCAGACTTAGGAACAGAACAATCACATGGGGAGAACTATGTAATGTAAAAATAGAAAAAAAAGAAAAAAAAATCACAATGAGTATGAGAGAAGGGCATCACCAGTTTTTGTTTACAAAACACCAACACAAAATGAAACCAAAATATATTGCCTTTGTGGGTTTTCATATCCCTGGGCATTTGCAGTACTATCTGTGCCCATTGCACTGAGTAAAACCACACTGCACTTGTTTTTCCTGGTTATCTTTTATAAACTTCCTCCTACATGGAGTTAGACCACAAGCTGGAAAACATGGAGTTCAGTTTTGACTGAGCACTGGCACAGGTTCCCAGAGAGCTGGCGGAGTTTCCATCTTTGGAGGTAACTCAAAACCATCTGGGCATGGTCTTGGGCCACCCCTTGAGCAGGGGCTGGATTAGGTGAGCTCCTGAGGCCTCTCCCAACCTCAGCCATTCTGTGACAGTGCCAGAAACTTTTGGTTGTGCCCAGCAGAAATCTGTCCTAAACAGCACCTGCAAACATAAGGAATCTATACAGGTGTAGTGAAACCAATGTAAGTATTTCCCCAACAAGCTGCAAACTTCCCATACAGTAACGGCAGCTTTGTTATTTTAGCAATTACAGAGTTTTGCAAATACTCCAGTTTAAGATTGGGGATTTAAATGGCAGTACTTTATGTTAACAATAAAGTATTGCCAGACTCGTGCGTAATTACAGGCAAATATAACTCTGCTACAAAGTATGGATGACAAATGTATTCTAGTAGCAAGTCTGCAAGGGAAATGAAATTCCAGCAAGGATTGTGTCGCTGATCAAACAATACCAGCTGCTGTATCCCTGCTGTCTCCTCTACCTCGTGTTACAGTGGGGCACAGGGAGCTGCAGAGAGATGACAGGACAGGCTGATTGCTGGAATTACTCCATGAACACTGGTAAAATGATGTGAAGGACAATTTTGTTCTACTGAGTTCAGTGGCCAGTGAGGGATTGGGTAGGCTGCCTCCTGCCAGGATTGTATTCCCTCCACAGCTGAATTCTATTAGGGAATAGGAACTCAGAGCAATGGTAAAACTGGAAATAAAAGGAAACAAAGAGAAGGTCAGGACTCAAAAATTAGTTTGAGTTGGAAGGGGAGAGATCTCTTTGGGTATCCAAGGATGCCTGGATAATTTGTCCCAGTGAAAGGAAGCCAAAAGGCTTCATGTGAAGGCAGCTAGCATCATAGTGGGTTTGTTGGTTGGTTGGTTGGGGCATTTGGGGAAAAGGAACACTCTAATCTGGTGTTTACAATATTTTATGTTTGAATGTTCAATTACAGCAAAGACTGTAAAGATTTTTGCATCGGCAGCAAAAAAATAAAAGGTCTCAAATCCTTTAGGCAGGCTGTTTCACAGTTCTCCACTGAAGGACGTTTTTGAGAACAGATAAGGGTCGGGATGATAAATGCATGTTTACCCTTGGTCCCTTGCACACACGTTGAGCCAGAAGGCATTATAATGCTAAAGAATTAATAATGATTGCATACAATTTTTCTTCTGCCTACAAGGAAGAGTGTTAATTTCTGGCTTTAAAATCTATAAATAATCTGCACTGGTTAGCTGCGAAGCTGAGGAAAAATCCATTAAAGCAGCGAATGAAACACAAGTCACTTGTTACTCCTGTCTTTTGGACCTTTCCCATTTCTACTAATGGTTAGCCAGCTGCTTTAACACAGAGTTGAGCTTGAAGTTTGAAGGTGCAGAGCTATTTTAAAGGTGTAGATTTTAAAACTCATTGTAAAGGGAATTACTGGAACCTTACTGGATTTAAATCCCTGAGCCAGTCCAGCCTTTTAGAAACAGCACAGCCCTGCTGAGAAGTAAATTGTTGTACTTTCAAAATGCAAATGAAGCCTCAGCTGAGAAAGTAATACTGTCACTCCAAGAGTGGAAAAACCACAAAACACAGTCCCAGCCCTTATGGGACTCCTGAGTAGCTCTTTCTTGGAACACTACTTATATTTTGCTGGTGTTATTTTTCTTGAAAAGTAAAAAAAGCGTTCAAGCAAAAGCGGATGTCCACAGCTTTCATGTGCACTCTGTGTTTTCACTTAAAGATACAAAATGAAAAGCTAATAGTTCCAATAAAAGTTATGCAGGTGCCAAATTTCTTTTCCCAGCAAAACATTAAAATTAGGCTCATCATTCACATTATTGCATATTTAGTACCAAATTCTCAAAGGACACCCTATTGCCTTTTAATCTGCTAAAGAAGAAATTCCCATTTTCTTTTACTGTCCCAGTGGAGGTGCTTCAGCAGTAACCTGACTCTTCAGCAGTAATCATACATTGGACTACAACTAGGAGTCCCTACACATTGAATATGTGGTTTAGAAAACTGTTGTTTTCTTGTGGATTTATTTGTCCTCCAGGTAGTGCATTTCTTACACAGTTGTTTTCAAGCTCAAATGTACCTTGAAGGAAAGATATATTCACAATTTTTTGGGGTAACACTGTATTGGAACAATGGCATTAAAAGTTATACAAGTTAAAGAAGAGCTCAGCTAACAGGCACAAGAACTGAAGATGTTCAAAGGTTTATATAAGTTCAGGCACGCAATATACTCACAGTCTGGCTAATTTTTATGAAGAATATGATCGGTAGAGTGGTCAGAAGATACTTCCATTCCATGGTTTGCATTTTTTATCATACAATAGAGTGCAAGACAAAGTCATTTTCATACATAAATATATTTTCCTCCGAACAAAGTCAGGTACAGCTTCTAGGTGTTTTGAAAGAGAGGGTGGTTGGAAGGAGGGAATCTACTATCCAGGTGGAGCAGGGTAAGCATTCCAGAGGGTTGCTTTGTATTTTAAAATAAATTTTAACTCTTGAAACACTGTCGCCATACTGTGCTTTCAGCATCACAACGATTACATATAAAAATACAAACAAACAAAAAAAGGTCCTTTCCTGTGTGATCCTAGAAGATGGATGAGAAAATATTTGTGTCCATATATAATTCTAAAGCACTCCGTTACCAAGAGTAAGGGAACCTAGATTACACAGATAAATTCTGAAGATTTAATCTTTTGAGATCTATGGCCTTAAACCATCCTCAGTTCCAATTCCTCAGAGTGATCTAACTTTTCTCAGAGCTGTGGATACTAGTCAATCATCTTTTACAGTAAACTCTCACACCCTCACAGAATATTCTTTCAAAGAAATGAAACCCAAGGCACACTTCATGGACCCATTCACATAGGAGACACTTATTTCCCAGCTGGTGCATTCTGTAACATGAAAAGGTAACGATTAAGCCAAAGTGTCCACAGGAGAAGGCACTTTTCTCACTGTTAATGACTGGCTGGAGAAACCAAGGACCAAAGAAAAAGCCAGACAGTCATTAACTGCTGAAAATTCCTGACCTAAAGGTCATTATTACTATTATAAAATTGGAAAATAAAAAAGTAATTATTGTCTTTGGGTCTTTATATGTATTAAAAATATAAAATTCCGGTGTCTGTTGCTGTGGATACTGGTTGGTAAGGCA